GGGGTTGCGCCCGCCGGCAGATCAAGGACATGGAGCGCATGTTCCGCCTGTGAGTGGGGCGGGAGCGGGGGTTCGCGGCGCGGGGGGAGGCACCGGGGACAGGAGCGGGCTGCGGGCTTGCCTGTCCCGGAGCCGCGGGCTCTGCCGTTGGATTCGGGGCTCTGCCTTCCCTCCGCAGAGCCCTCCCAGCGCTTTTCCCCGGGGGCACGTCTGGAGAGAGGCTGCCTGCTCTTGGCGAGATGTTCGCATTTCTCCGCGGTTTCGCGCTCGGGCTGCGCCCGCAGAGGGCTGAGGCGTGGTGGTGTGGGGGCAGGAGGACAACTGCTGGCAGCTGCGGGGCCGAAACGCTGCGGGTGAGGGCCCGGAGCAGGCAGCGGCACTGCCTCAACCGGGGTAAGGAAAGGAACAACAGTGGTTCGGGAAATAAAAAGTGGAAGAGCTGAATTGCAGCCGAATTTTTCAACAATGAGCTCATTAAACGCTGGCCTTGTAAGTGGGAGAACCTAGGCTTTGCAGTTGAATGCTAATCAGCTGGTCAATGTAGCTGGATAACATTGTGTGCCCTGTGAGGACGGACTATCGCAGCTGAGCGTCGGCCAGCTGTGCAAAAGGGGAAGAAGCTAGGCTGAGTGCTCTCCTGTGCTCCTGGACAGACAGACAGAAAACCCCGTCCTGGTTTTCACTCTGTTACAGGCACCTGGTTGTTTGCTCCATCTGCTGCCAGCGACCTGTTTCAAGTATTGGCCGAGACCACGTGCTCCATGAGGAGAGGAAATACTCCTCTTAATTCCTGCCAGTCAGAGCTTGAGTTAATGTGATTAAGGTTTTTATTCTCCGTATGGCTTATTGGCCCTGGCCACCACAACCCAGGGTTTTTCTTACTAATGGTAAAATTGTAAGCCTTTGAAAGACAGGAATGTATCTTCGCACTGCCATGGGATGCCAGCTTTCCAGTATGAGACTTCCCATCCATAATTATTTTTTATCAGTTTAGTGGGACTTGTAAATCTGTAATTTGGACTAAACTTGAGCCTGTGGGACCTGGGCATGGTGTGGGCTGGGTCAGGGTGTTCCAGTCAGGAAGAGGGAGTTGCTGGTGATAGCAGCTGCTCTGGTGTCTGTCAGGGTGTCCCACGGTACAGCTGATGGCTGTGACCGCCCTGTGCCAGGGTAGAAGCAAAGGGCTCATCTGAATATGGGACTTCATCAAATCAATGCTCCATCCAGGCGCTGTGTACTGCCAGCTGTGCTGGGAGCATCCTTCTAAAGCACAAATGATGCTCCTTGCTCCTGCTGCCACAGTTGGGCTCACTTCCTCCTCTTGGCAGCATCCCCCCATTTCGGCCCAATTCCCCCAAAGGTGGGGTGCAGATATCTGCTGGGGGTGCTGGGGCTGTGCAGGAGCATGTGGGGACTGTTGGGTGCAGGCAGCTTTCAGGGTGGGTATTTTTTTTGGCAGAGGGACCAGGAAGTCTGCAGCTCAGGCTAATTTTAATGTGACCTAATTAGCTGCCTATTCTGACAATGTGTGAGGACTGTGGTAACCATGATAACCTCCCTTCCCCAAGTCTTGTGAGCGAACCCTCAGGAGCTGTGAGGCTGTGCCTGGCGGGAGTGACCTTTCCAAAGGGTATATGGGGGAGGAAAACAGCCACCAGCTTCATCTGTGGGGTGCAAGGGAGTGGAGAAATTCCAGCCTTGCTATTGCTTTTGTATTTACAGAATTTCATGTGTTGCCTACACGTTTTGGAAGTGCCTTGTGCCTGGCTGGTGGGAGAGGCTGTGATGTCTCCTTGTCCTCAAGGAGCCACTTGGGAGTCCTTTGCTGGGTGCTGTTATACTGAGGGACGTGTCTGATGTGCTGCAGCAGACCTGCTCACTCCAGGGCTGCTGTGCTCCTGGTGTGACTGGCTGTCTCTGGTCTGTGACCAGCTGTCTCGAGTCCCAGTGGTCAGGGAGGTCATGCAGGCTTTGGTGCCTCAGGGTGTTGCCCAGCATCTCAGAGGACATCTTGCTGGAGGAGGCTTTCATCTCACCCTCATGTCCCTCCAAAAGCAGGAGAGCTCCTGCTGCCTGGGCTGGGGAGGACAGAGCTGCATGCGGCCAAGGAGCCTGTTCTTCTCCCCACCCCGGTATGGTGAAATTGTTTCCACAGCTCTTGGCAACAGGACCTATAACCATCATTTAGTCCAACTGCCTGACCACTTCAGGGCTGACCAAAAAGTTAAAGCATGTTAAGGGTATTGCCCAAAAGCCCCTTAAACACTGCCTGTTCTAGTGTCTGACCATCCTCTTGGTAAAGAAATGCTTCCTTATGTCCTCTCTGATCCTCCCCTGTTGCAGCTTTGAACCATTCCCACACATCCTATCACTGGATACTGGGGAAAAGAGATCAGCACTTCCCTCTCTGTTAAGGTGAAACGCAATGCTCAGAGGGAATGAAGTACTACTTAGAAAGGATTTTGAAATATTTAAGAGATTATTAGTACTTTAGCACCATTACTCCGGCTGCTTTATTTGAAAGCCTGTATTAGGCCATTGAAGCATGCAGGAACTGCAGATCAAAGTACAGTTGCCTGTAGCACGTGGAGTAAGCTCAGGTACAGCAAACATGTACAGGGAGGGCAGGTTTTCTTTCCAGCTTTTCTCAAGAAGCCTGAATGTTTAGAAACTGCTCTTTGATCCTTCAGGATTTGGGATTTCTTATTCAACTATCTTTTTTTTTTTTTTTTTTTTTTTTTTCCCCCCCTTGGTGTCTTTTCAGGCAGCTGGGATGAGCTGCAGAGTTGGTACAGGTGATGCGGTCCTCAGCATCTCCTTTCCCTTCCCTTCCTGATCCCTCTTTCTTCTGCGGTGTAACCCCCCAGCTATGCTGTGTAACACCAGTACAATGATTGTACTTGGGCAGTAATTGTGCATAACACACTTCTTGCTCTTAAGCAAGTCTGTTCAGTGAGTATTCCCTCCTTTCCCCCCCAGTTTCTGTTCCTGCTTTCCTCCCCCAGCACTTCTGCAGCCCATGTGGAAGCAAGCCAGCGTGGGAATCTGGGCGCATCCTTGTTACAGCAGATTTTGGCAGCCGCTGCCTGTGTCTCATCTGCTGCCAGGAACGCTGTGGCGGCACTGCGAAGCCTTATTGCTCCGGCCATGGTGCTTGTAGCTGCCTATGGTATCCCAGCTGTCGCAGGGGGGGCCCTGCCATGGCTGTGGCACTGACTTGCTGCTGGAGTTGCCTGCCTGCAACATGAGATGTCTTTGCCCGTTGGCGCGAGAGCCTGTCTGTCCATAATGCCTGCGTGTCACCAGGATGAAGCTTGGCTCATGGCCTCAGGAGCTTTGAGCCCAAAGGAAGCAGAGTTCCGGTGTCACAGCAGGACAGTGGGTGATGGGAGGGCTGGCAAGGAACCAGAGTGCTGTGTACTTGTACTGTGCCACTCCTGGAGTACAGGATGGGACAGCTCCCTGGGATGTGTTTAGGGACCAAACTTGTCCTGGTGCCCTCCTCCAGCTCTGCATGTGAGGGCTGACCAGTGGCTGTCACTGGGACAGGGCCGCTCTGCAGGCAGCAAAGTGGGTGTGAGCAGTATTGGGGGCTGGCTGGAGCCCTGGCCTGAAAAGGAATTCCCAAAAATCAGATAGTAGAGTTTGGGGAGCTCCCAAAAGGTAGACAGTGGGATTTTTGGTAGGACTGAGGTGTGCTGGGAGCATTGGCTGACCAACAAGGTGCAGCCCGTGCCATGCCCTGTTGCACTGAGTGCCTGTGCGTGTGTGTGGGGGCAGTGGGGAATGAATTGCACTGTCTCTCATGCCCTATAAATACAACTCTCCCTAAATAGTCTGTCTGTGCTGCTCCGTGGCAGCCAAGTGGCTGTACCCAGGTCCTAAAATACTCATGCCGTTTTAGGAGGCAAGGGGGGTGGGGAGGGAATGCAGCAGTTTGCAGGGTGCTGCTGTTTGTGGGGTTAGCACTGAGTGTCTGGGGGCTTCAGTGTCCCTCTGTCTAGCTGTGCCCAGCTTGCAGGGGACTGGTAACCTGATTTCAGGATGCATCTCTATGTCAGCTGTACCCTGGCCCGGTGCGCTCAATACCCATTGTGAGGCTGGTACAGTGTGCTGCTCTGCCACCGAGGCCCTGCTGCTGGCAAGACCCCATTTCTCACAATCCTGGCTTTGTGCTGCCTCTCTGCAGGGATTGTCCCCGGGCTCAGTGCCAGGGCAGGCTTTGAGGGCTGGTGTTTGCCTGTAGGTAGCGTCTCTAGCAGAAGGGTGAGATGAGCATGGGAGGTGTGGGCTGGGCTTGTGCATTCCTTCTGCCTTTATCTCCATTACCCAATGCTTCTGAGAGGGTCCAGGCAGTGTCCTGACCCTGGATGGGCAACCGTTGGTGGAGAACTCAGTGTCATCTTGCTTTTGCACCCAGCCAAAGGGCAGTGTGAGTTGCTGGGGCCAACCTCCCCCCCGCCCCAATCCCAAGTTCTCTCTGCCATTATATACTTTGTTGCTTTATCTGATCAAAGGTACTACCTCTCCAACTGCCTCACTCCAGAGGAATGGCTCCACACCCTTTCTCCCAAACTTAAGGGAAAAACAAATTGACAATTAAATATTGCACTTACTATGCTTCTGTGAGGTCTTGAGAGTGTGTCTCGGAGCTGGGCTGGGTAATGTTGTGAACATGTGCCTTAATTAACTGACGCCTTCCTTGCTGTGATGAACCCGCTGCCTTTTGTCACTGTGATGTCTCGGGTCTGTGACCTGGTTTCTGCTCTGACGGAGGTTTCTTTCCTACTTTTCCAGAAAGCTGTCTGGCCTGGTGGGTTTGCTGGGTGCAGAGCGTGCAGGCAGATTGGTAGCAGGGGCTGCACGCCAGCCTGGTGGCCGTGTCTCTGTCATTTGGGGGCTCTTGGGCTTGGGACTCTAGAAAACAGAGGCACAGAGAATATAAAAGATGGTTGTAGAGGTGGTGGGACTCTGGGAAGCTGTGGAGGCTGCCTCAGTTTTGGGGAAAAGCACCCTGTGCCCATGCCTGTGAAGGCAGGGGCAGAGCTCTTTTGGCTGCAGCCCTGCCTTGTGCTGCCCATGCCTGTGGGCAGCTCAGGGCCAGCAGCTTTGTCTGTGCCTTCCTCTGCCACAGCTTCCTCTGCGGCTGTGAGGTTTCTCAGCTGGAAAGGGCTTTGTTCCAGGGTAACCACAACTGTGCAGGTCTGGGTCTGGGACGGCTATAGCCCTCACTTCTTTGGAAAAGAGCTAACAGTTAATGAAAGAGGGTGGGTGGGAGGATTTGACCAGCTCCCGATGGCAGGACCAGGATGACGGACGGCTGTTGATGGGCTGTCTGATAGCAGAGTGCCTGTCCCTCTAGCCTTTGGACTTTGAAACCCAGTGATGGCAGTGGTGGGTGTGAAGCACTGGTTACTGTGTGGGCGGGATGCTTTACGTGTACCCACAGCGGATGTCAGGGGAGGAATCGGTGCACGTTTCCAGGCTGAGCATGGCAGATCACTGCCTCCCCATCCCTAAAGCACTCTGCCCCTTGCACAGGTGCTCTCTCCTCCTGCAGAGAGTCCTTGTCCTCCTTTGTGCTCCATTGGGAGTGTGGTTGCACTCCAGTCTTGCTCCTAGAGGTGGGCACTAGTTTCCTCTGCCAGCCTGGCCCCCTGGTGCAGCCATCAGCACCAGCTAGGATTGCTGTGCTCCCCCAGGACTGCCTTTCTGCTCTGCCTGGGGACACTGAATAAACAGCTGCCCTGAAGCATGGTGCTTGTGTAGTACAAAACTATTTGAGAAAGATCTTAACAGCTAGAGGGGGTGTGTTTTGCTTACAAAGAAAGATAGCTGCTTTCTGCTGGGAGGTCTTGGTTGGTCTCTGCTCCCTGTTTCTCCTCTAAATGAGCAGGAGACCTGGCAGCACCTGGCTCTGGCATGCCTTTGCCGCACTGTGCTGGTGCATGGTATAAACTGTATAAGTAACATTTGTGCTGGACACACAAGTGAGTGAGATGGAAATCCCACTGAGATAAGCTTAGTTCCTCCATGCTCTTTCTGTGTGGGTGGTTTGGTCTGAGCTCCCCTGAGCACTTCTCTGAGACAGCTCTGAAAGCTGCCCACTACTTCCCCGAGCTTAATATATCTCAGCACTGGCTGTGTTGTGCAGCTTCCCCTCTCCCCCAAGCTTTGAAACACCCTGTGACTTTATCCATTTGCACGGTTCCTCTTCTGGGAAGATGATGGGGGGTGATGAGGGTGACCCACCTGCCCTTTGCACCCTGCAGGTACGACTCAGGACGGGATGGGTACATTGACCTCATGGAGCTGAAGCTGATGATGGAAAAGCTGGGAGCCCCACAGACCCACCTGGGGCTGAAGAATATGATCAAGGAGGTGGATGAAGACTTTGATGGGAAGCTCAGCTTCCGTGAGGTGAGGATGGCTGTGGGAGCAGACAGGGATGTGGCTGCAGGGTGGAGGGAGGAGGTGGCCAGGCCCTGTACCTCAGCTGTAGGTAGCACTGTCCCGTACATGTTTCTCCAGCTGAGGGGTGCAGTGGAGAAACAGGTGAGCTTCCCCATGCCTTGGGGAACTCGAGGTGTGGACCACTGTCAGCATCCATCTCCACGTGGCAATAATGGTACCTGATGTCAAAGGTCTCCAACCTCTCTGCACATTTGAGCCCTGCTGCAGCTGCCTAGGAGTGCTGACATTGCTTCCTGCTGTAGCTGGGGGTGGCATGTCACTTCAGTCACAAAGTCTCATTGCTGGGCTGCTGCAATACAGTGGCTCAGGCCTCATTTCAGGAAGGGCTCTGCTTGGAGCAGCTGGTCTCACGGGGTGCAGGAGGTTTCCTCTTTCAGTTTGTATTGGGTCCTTCTCTGCATTACACAGTGACCAGCTGCAGCAAGCTTTGTGAGGGGTGGTCACCTCCCTGCAGCACGGAATAAATGTGGTGATGCAGCATTTCGGTACTGAAGTGTGGGCAGGCCAGGATCTGCTGCTGGGTGGAGGAAGAGAAGGAATTTGAGCAGTGACCTGCATGCACTCAGGGGTCCTAAACTCAAGCAGGAAGGGGGAGTGCAAATATCAAAACCTGCTGTTGCATCATCTCCTCCCCAGGCTTTGATGCTGTCTCAGTCAGAAGCATATGTCACACTGTGGCTTTCTGAATTAACCAACAGCCCCTTAGAGAGCAGGAGGGCCAGCGCTGCTTGTGTCCTGCATCGGTTGTGAGGGCTGTGCTGCTGTCCTGCTTCCTCCTACCCCAGGGGACACCTGCAATGGGCCCTGAGCAGCCAAGCTCCTTTCTCTCTGCAAAGGGTGTATGTACTCTCACCCCATGCTTCTTGCAGGGTGGGGGTTTGGTTGTGGAAATGAGGTGCAGAGCTATCCACAGCTCAGGACATAAAGTTCTCCATCTTGGAAGTGCTGGGACCTTTGGCAATGCCTCGGAGGGAGGATGAGCAGCCAGGGTCCGTGACCAGCTGGACTGGTTGGGGTGTGAGGGGTGACTGGCAGCTCGCAGAGCTGCTGCACCATCTCTCTGTGCTGGCTTGTCACACCATCTCCCCCTGTATTCTTCCCCTAAGGGTTCTGTTACATTTCTTTTGCTGCAAGAGGGCAGCAGTAAAAGACAGAGACCAAGGACCATTGGGTTACAGGGCCTGGCCCATAGAAAGGGGTAAAGACAAGCAAATCTGGGAAGTGAGAGCCTAAGCAAAAGCAAAGCCCTAAGCTGGTAGCTCTTCTGGGCAGGGAAGGAGATGTGCCCAGTCAGAGGTGAACCTGGAGTAGCAAAGAATCCAGCAGAGCAGGAAGAGCTCTGTGCCCTTGGGCCCAGGTCAGACTGTGATTGCCAAATCACTGTGTGGGCTGGAGGAGCTCTCTCTGCTTGCCCCCTGGGCCACCCTTCACCCTGCTCGAAGAGCTGGGGACAGCCTCTGGGCTGTCTGCAGGGGCTCTCTCCTGTGAAAGAGAAGTGCCTTTATCTTCTGGAAGATGCCGTGGTGTCCTGGCACCAGTGGTATGGCACAAGTGGCAGAGCAGCTCCTCTTCTGCTGCCACCTGTTTGGAGCACAGCCCCCTGCATGGCCGCTGTCAGCTGACACGGGCTGCCTGTGCTGACAATCCTTGGCAGGCAGTGTGTGGCAGCTGGTGCTGTTTCATAGCTTCTTGCCAGATGCAAAACAATGGTCAAGAAAATGCAAGCTTGAGTGGCACATGGGTTGGAATGAAGGAGCATCACTGGCAGAGCTCTGGGGACAAATTACACAGCAGCTTTGGCGTGTACCCAAAGCTTCCCATGGTAGAGAGGAGCAGGACGCTTCTTGCCTTGTTGCAGATGCGTTGTGTCCAGCTGCTGTGTTCCAGCAGAGGACTGGCAGGGAGGAGGGTTTCCCGGTGGGTGAGGAGGCCTGAACCATCCTGCAGCCCTGCCCCACTCTGCTTCCCGTTTGTGGTGATGAGCAAGCATGTGGTGGGTGACGAAGCTGACTCGGGGCACTCTGATAACAAGGAGAAACCCTGGTTTAATGAGTGTCTGAACTCAGCAGGGGGTAACTCGAGCACTGGAGGGCTCTACCTCTCTGGAGAATATATAGAGTCCTGACGTGCCTGCCTGAAGACATGCTTCTTGTGGCCTGGCCAGGGAATTGGTAGGGACCGTGCAATAGGTCCCTTTTTGTTGCTGCTTTGAATACTGTCACATCCTCCCCATGTAAACTGTCGCCTGGAAAGCAGGCTTGTGTGGCTCTGACTGTTGAACTGCTGGCCCTGTTAGGAAAGCTGCCTTCTACCGTTGACCTTTGAGCATCCATCAATACATCAACAAGTAACTGCAAAAGAGTCCCTTTGTGACTCAAGCAAAGAAATTTAGGCTTAAAAAGATTACATACGATGGGGGGAAAAAACCCCACTGTTGACTGTCTAGTTCTGTCATTACCACAGGAAAACAGAGTTAATTGCTAAAATAATAATAATGTCTAATTGTAGTTGCTATTTAGAACCCACAAAAATCCACCCACTGTCCCCCATGTGTGCACCAGCTTAAATGCTGACCCACATCATGTTTGTTAGCAGGGTTAGTGCATACCACAGCCTTGGGTGGCATTGTTTTTCTGGCAAGCTGCTGCAAGGCTGTGGTTGCCAGTCAGTCCTGTACCTTCCCTTGCATCCCTGAGGCCAGCACAGTGCCCGGTGGGGCTGCGTAACTGCAGCATCGCTCTGAGACCTGGCACTCTAGGTAGGTCTTGGATCATGAAGGATGTGAGAGCAGATACATCTTGTATGTGGTTAGTGGGGTGGAAAGTGTGTGTCATGTCCTCCTTGAGAGCAGGGTTTTAAGAAGTACCAACATTATTCACTTTTGCTTCTCAGTTGACATTTCCCTGAAGCTTATCTGCATGTTATGTGTCCTGGGCCCAGCAAGGGTGTGAGATGGGCTGGGAATGGGACCTCATTGGGAAACTGAACGCAGATTCCTGGTGTTCTCTAGTTAGTTGGGACTGACACCTTGAGGGCAAGAAACTGGTGAGGTGGGCTGCAGGCTGGTGTGCTTGCATGAGGAAGGGTTGCTCCTGAGCTCATGTGGAAACCAGCATGATGCCCCGTGGTCTGCCTTGCTGGGTCCTCAGGGCTGACATTATGCTGCATCTGCCCCAGCTGGTGGCTCAGTTCCTGGCTTCCTTGAGCTCAGCTTCCTGGCCACGGCAGCTGATACTCCATGGGAGGATTGTTGCCCCATCCCCTAGTTTCAGGATGATTCATGCACACTTGTACTCATGACTGGGTGTTTCCAGTCCCTCCTCAGGCGACAGCTGTACCAGGCCTCAGGATTGTGCTGCCTCTGCTGCCCTTTTCCGATGCCAGGAAGTGGGACTCACAGGGTGGAGCAGAAATGGTGAGAAGGAACTATGACTAATGCCAGCCTGGCTGCCAGCTCTCAGTGCCTCGTGGTGGAGGAGGAGAGTAACTAGCCCAAGCCTAGTGGATCTGAGTAGAGGGAGGGGGTATCTTTCGGAGGATTTGATTTCTTTCTGAGCAGGATGTTCTGCCCATTCAGCAGAGCATCATTAAATTTCTTATGTGTTCCCTCCCCAAGCACAGCCTGCTTTCTGGCTGCTCTGTGCTGAGCACACACTGGTTATGAGGCCGTTGCATGAAGCCATGCCTGGTGACACTGCCTCTGCGAGAGAGCAGCCAGCGCTGTCGTCATCTCCACACCCTTCCCCATGGGAGGCCTTCCCTAACTCTTGCATTTCCACCAGCTTCTGTGAGCAACTTGAAGCAGGGGAGTGCATTAGGGGCTGGCTCAGTGCAATGCTGGGACTCTGCTGCCCTCCTCCGGGACAGCTTGGGCTCTCTGTAGGAAGGAGCAAAGTTCCAAGCAGCCTGAGGAACACAGCACTTAAGAGATATTTGATGTTCCCGTGCAAATGGATTTCAGGGCAACCCTATGTGGTATTTGCAGCCCTCTGCCTGGGACTGAAGTGGTGCAGTGGTGAAGCTTTGTTGCTTGTGTTCCTTTTGTACCTGAGTGACATGTCCCTGTCTCTGAGACACTTCCTGGGGTGGCCAAGAACAGCAGGGAGTTACAGGACCTCTCAAATTATGCATAGAGCACCCCCATCTTAACCTGGAGTTCAGTTAGCTGGTTGAAGGTGGTGTAGAGGTCTTTGTTTTTAAGCAGGCAGGTCTTTTGCCTTCAGTAAAAATGTATGCTTTCCTGGAGGGCAATCTGGCTCTTTTGTTTGTTTCCTTTTGCAATTCACTTGCCAACATGCACTCTGCTGTAGTGACCCTGGATTTGTTAAATGTCTATGCTCCAGTGCAAGACAAAGGTTTCAAAACCAGTTGCTCTGTGGACACTTGTTCAAGTTGCTCTGTCACAAGGGCATGCCTCTGACCTGACCTCTGATAGGTCTTGGAGAAGCTCTCCTATATGTTATTTAATGCACACAACAGGAATACATAGGCTTTGCTCACCTTGGCGAAACCAGCTGGGGTTCCCTGAAACGGGCTGAGGCATAGCTCCAAGGGTTGATTTAAGTCACTTTTCCCATGCCTTAGACAAGGGACCAGTTGAACTTATTTATGTTCTGTTCTCCTCGTGCATTTGACCTTTATTTTGTTTTCCCCTCCCATACTGTGTGAACCATAGAGCTTGGAAAGGACAGAAGGCAGGGTTGGTAGCAGCCAGGCAGTCCCCAGATTCCTTTCAAGTGCACACAACTGGGCTGTTGTTCTCTCAACAGGAATGCACTGGTGTCTTGGTCCAGGGAGCCTGGGGCTCAGCTGTGAGCCAGGGCTGTCTTTGCCCTGCTTTTGTTGTCATGGGATGTGATCTGAGCCCCCAGAGCACTGGGGAAGCTGGTGGGGAGCACGGGAATGCACCATTAGGGTGTGGGGACATACAGGGATGTATCTGAGCCCACCATATGGTTGTACTAGGCAGGTGGAGAGGTGGCCTCCTCCCTCTGGTCATGTAGCAGCAAACGCTCAGTAGGAGCTGTGCTTTACCAGGACTCTGCTCTCCAGAAAACCTTCTTCCTATGAGATTTCTACCTCTTAGTCCAACAGGGCTGTGTACCAGAGCCAGGGTACTGGAGCAAAAGTTGCATGGTGCCACTTCATTTATATAGACCTGGTTTCCTTTCCTCAAAAATGTGAATTACAGCCCCCTCCAGGTAAATGTCTGCACTGTTTGCATTTTAAGTTGTTTGAGCCTCAGTGAAGAACTTGAATGTTTCCTCTCTGTCTTGCCAGTTCCTGCTGCTTTTCCATAAAGCTGCAGCTGGGGAACTTGAGGAGGACAGCGGCCTGTTGACTCTTGCGAAGCTCTCGGAGATAGATGTCTCCATTGAGGGAGTCAAAGGAGCCAAGAACTTCTTTGAAGCTAAGGTATGGTGCGGCACAGAGGAACATGAAAAAGCTCTGTACGTGGGCCTTAATTGAAACACTGACCTTGCTTGCTTTTCAATAGATGATACTGTCAGATTTCTCCCTAGCTAAAAGGGTGTGTATTTCATGCCCCCCTCCTAAAACCTCTGCCATAGCTTTTCCCTTCAAACTTTATGTTGGACTCCAGCTACGGCCTCCCTCTGCAGATTAGTCAACACTAGAATGACTTAATTCACTGTCTCTGCTGTGGGTCTTACCCTGGTAGAGCTGACTGGCTGACCTGCATCCCTGTGGCTGGGAGCTCTATGGGGCTAGCTGGCTGACGGCTTTTAAAGACAGAAGTGTCCTGGAAACTAGTGGGATTGCGTTTCCCATTTTGCAAAACCTCCCTTAACCTGAACACTTGGAGTTCAGTGGTGAATGGAGTATTTTCAAGTATAGGATTTCAGGCATCTTTTTCAAGCAGCTTTCTGTAACCTTTTGAATCAAAATTGTTCTGCAGGGTCCTGGGGTTGGCAGAAAGAGCTTTGCACCATTTGAAGCTGACAAAGCACCCTTTTTGAAAGCTTTCTTGGAGAGAAAATAATCCTGCTTGTTTATATAAGTTTTTTCCCAAGAGCATAGCACAGCTATTGCACAGCAGATGTACTGAGATGAAAGCTGGAAAAATAGCCAGCAAATAAACAATGCCTCTTTGATCTGCAGATTATCTGTGGTGTAGTATGATGTTCTCAGATTTGGCTGTGATTCAGAACGGTTTTCTGCAGTAGTTTTTCCCACTGTATACTCACAAGTTATGCTATGCTGCCTGCTTACAGAAAGAATGTATGTGACCCAGTGCTGACGGCATTGTTTTGGTCACATATTAGTAAATGACCTTTCTTTTATTGATGTTAAAGTCAAGCGAGCTAACAGGTATTGGGTGTAAATACCCAAGCATTGCAGTGTAATTAATACTTGACCCATCCTTACAGAGCTTCCCAGCAGGTACTGAGAGGTGCGGCAAACAGTTCTGTGTTGCTCATCTGGGAGTAGTTCAGGCTCTGGCTCTCCCTCTGATGCAAGGCTTGATGCTCTTTTATTTTCTCTCTTGTAAAGGTTCAAGCCCTCTCTTCAGCCAGTAAGTTTGAAGCAGAGATAAAAGCTGAGCAGGATGAGCGGAAGAGGGAAGAGGAGGAAAGGAAACACCGCCGAGCGGCTTTCAGGGAGTTAAAATCTGCATTTACCCAGTAACCAACCAGCCAATACGCACTCTGAGATTGCACATGACCTGGTACGTTTCCCAGATCAGGGCTCTACCTGGAGAGAACTGCCTGGATCCTGCTTAAAACTCATTACAGCTTTGCTAGCCTTCCTCTTCTGAAGATCCTCCTGAATTTAAGGGCACAACTCTTGCAGTTACTATGCATTCATAACAATGTGAATCGTAAGAGCTGTGCATGTGCTGTTTGCTTTGAACTGTCAGGAGCACATCGCCCTGAAGCAGAAACAGCAGGTAGCAAATCACGGTGAGCACTGACAAGTGTCACGTTTGCAGACTTCACTCTCTCCTTCT